GAATGGGTCTAAGGAGATTAGAAAAAGATGATTTAGGGAAAAATCACCAAAGTGCAAACCAAGCAAAAGCCTTATGCAGAACCATCACAAGAGTTAATTATTTTTGCTCAAATTTGTAAAAATGTTAAATCAAACCATAAATGACCAGAGTGAAAAAAGGCTCTAGATCAGGAACGTATTAATAGAGTCCGAGACAATTGTTGGACCTATGTAAAAATGAAAGAAATCACCATACGTTTTTAAATGACATTTTTGTGGCACACGGGGATTAACTAGATGATTCTGCTTCTCATCTAGCAAAGCTTGGACATCCCTGTTCTAGAATGCAGAGAGCGTTTCATTCATTGCTGAAGAAATACTTTCACCGAAAGAGACTGAAAGTTACAAAATGATTGAATTACTACAACTATAGGTGCAAAAATTGCTAAATGAAAACCAACAAAAACCCACCAGGACACTTTAATAGTGTCACATAATTGATCTGGAAGCACTCGATTTTCATGCTTGAGCTCCCATTCCTGATGCTGTTAGCACTCACATGTGCATTTTTTAACATTTGCTGTTTAAACTTGGGTTACTTGGCAAATTTATCTTCACTTAGCAAGCGACTGACATCATCAGTATTTATTTTCATCACTCTGTAGCTAGTAGTTTCAAATTGTGCTTCATTGAAGGAAGAGAAATTGTAAAATTTGGACTTGAGGTGCAGTGCAGAACAGAAATAAAGCTAGCAGCTGGTACACAAGTCCAGCCAATGTATTTTTTTTGAGTGCTGAAAAGCTTCAGCATTCCATCTGTTGCTATATGCAACTCTACATATAATCAAGTGATACTATTAAAGGATTGCAGTGGGAGTGAAGCTTTCACAGAAGCATCTGCAGAGGCAACACACACCGTGTTACCTTTCCACTGTAATATCTCTTTATCAGTCACCAGACAGCACAGATTTATGGTAGTAGCTTGAGAAAAAACTGCAGATTTGTGTGTATTTTTACAGTTTTTACCTCTCAGTGTTCCTGTCAATGTGAATTTGCACCCTTTTGTGCTGCAGCTGTCACCACTCACCAGCCAGGGTGTTTGTACCTGCGTGAGTGTCTAGATAAATCAGTCCATCAGGGAGACGGAGGCAGTGCTTCTTCCCCTCATGCACGTCATCCCCTAGCCTCATTAGAACCCATTCAGTCAATCAAGCATGAATCCCTAACACAACAACATGCAAAGTGCTTTGTCTGTGTGTAATTGGCCTTGCCAGGGCTGTTCTTCCTCAAACGGTTAGCTTCACTTGCCTCTCAGACCACAGCCAGGAGCCCTTTCCAAGAAATGCAGCTGGCTGGTGGAGGATAGAGGGATGGGAAGCAAAGAAAAAAAGGATGGAGAGATAAAGATAAACCGTAAAGACCATACACAATTAGTTGCTTTTGAAATATGATCGGTCACTCTGAGTTTCATATGCAGGCTAAACGTAAAAAAAAGTCTTCTACCCCTATTTCCCGCATTAGCCGCTGATGGAAAATAGACTGCTGATTTAGTGTCCAGTAAAAAGCAGAGCACGTCTTGACTAGTAGAAGCTAACTGTTAGCATTAGCAACTCCGCCACACAGCAGAACTCCTTCAGGCTTGTGTTATTTGGGGAGATAAAACTTCATTATTGCAGAGCGAACAGTCACATTTGCTGTTACAAAATCAGATACAAGACGTTCAAATATTAGGAAAAAAGACTCCAAATCCTGCCGTCCTCTGCTTCCCACTCCTCTGGTTAACTTCTACTTCCTGAAACAGGAGCGCCAGAGCTTGTTATTTCCAACACAGAGTGAATCACATGTATACTAGAGACCACTGCTGACAAGTTGAAAAAAAATTTGAACTTGATCTTAAATTATGAATGAAGCCAGTTTGGTCAAAGCTATGAGAAATGTTGACATTTTTTCTACTCAAATGCTCAATTTGTAACAATTTTGCATCATTGAGTCTGTCAGTCACACATCATCAAGATAAACAAGCTATTTTCACACATAAACATGGCACATGTGCACACATGTGACAAGGATCACGGGAGACGGGTACAAGGCGCAGAAACACCATGACCCCCTTCTGGATCCCCACAGGAGAGCCGGTTTGTTCGCGATGATGGGTGACACGGCTGACTGACACTTCCCTCCAACCCGGCAGCCAATCTACTGAAATTGTGCTGTGACATTGTTGATTAAGCAGAGACTTTGTGTGTGTGTGTGTGTGTGTGTGTGTGTGTGTGTGTGTGTGTGTGTGTGTGTGTGTGTGTGTGTGTGTGTGTGTGTGTGTGTGTGTGTGTGTGTGTGTGTGTGTGTGTGTGTGTGTGTGTGTGTGTGTTGCCACGCCGTGATGAGTTCACTGGTGCAAGAAAATGCAATCTCATAGTGTGCGTGTGTTGTAATATCTCTATTCGTGTTACATGTACGCTGCAACGACATGTGACAGGAAGAAATCAACGGGAAAATGTGACTTTGAACCAGAGTGTTGCATGATTTAAGCCAGGTCAAAGCAACTCTAAAGAGCTGAGAGGATCATTAGTAGTTGAGTGCTGTCATCTAGTGGTGAAAAGTTGTACATCTGTAGTTCAGGAGGGAAAACCTGCCTTAGATCAGGAGTCAGATTGCTTGGAAAACTCTGGATTCAGCTGAAAGTTTAACTCGTGTTAAACTTTAATCATTGAGGGGGGTTAATTGATACAGCAGGAGCAGGGTTCAGCCCGCTCCCCTTCATCTCCCTCTTCCTGCCACGCTTCCCTCTCATATAGCCTCCCTCAGATCAATAGCTTTGTTTGTTGCAGCAACACCTCCCAGCGTTTTCACTTGTCCCTCTCTGCGGGAAGTGAATTGGATGTCCTGTCTTGTGCAGCGGTTATGTTGTGAATCAAAAAAGCCAAATTAAATTGCCTAATTGGTTTCCTTGGGAAGGGGAAAACAGATTTAAATTGATTACCACTAATGGCCTTTTGTGGAACCACATTGGCTTCTGCTGTTTGAAGAGGATTTAGCAAAACCAATTAATTTGACTCACCTCTTATGCGCCCTACTTCTGTCTCCTTTTGTCTCCGTCTGGGAGCTTTTTCATCGTTTGCTTTTCCCGCTCCTATAATGCCCTACTTCATACTGAGGCAAATAAAAGGAATAATGAAGATAATGTCACTGGATAACAATCATTCAAGCCTAATTGGCTGAATAGTGTCACATTGGGGCGCTGATAAAAAGAGGACAGATATTTTTTTCCGTCTGCTGTTGCATGCCTCGCCTGGCAAAAGATCATTTAAATCTCTCATTCAGTTACTTTGTCTGTGCATGTTTGCTTCCAGACTGAGTCTCTTTCTGCAGCTGCTGCATCAGCTGAGGCAAGAAGGAGAGACGTTAAGGTCACATTTTGTCACACGAGCTGATTAAATCCTTAATACGCCCCCCGTCTTTGTGGAGCCCCTGTTTCTTCAACTCCAATCAAATATTATCACAACCAGACGCAACAAGTGACATGTAGCCTGAACAAATTGAAGGCACCTTATGTGACTTTATTAATTACATTACGGAAACTGATCTAAATTTTTTTTTTAAATTTAAAAAATATGTCACCTCAAACTAAAATTAAGTTTTCTCACTGGTGGTGAATGAGTCAAAGTGAAGATTTTCTTTTTAAAAAATCAATTTTAGTCAGATCTGCATTGTTTCTTCCTTTTCAGTTCAGAAAAATATTTAAAGATAGCAATATTTTTATCATCATTACTTATAATGAAATATGACTACAACAAATTATTATTATTATTAGTAGTAGTAGTGGTGGTGGTGGTGG